TATTTTTTACAAATTAATAAACCATCTACCACTAAACTAATTAAAATATTTATAAAAACATCCCCACCATTTTCACTGGAAATTTCACCCTCTCCACCTTAAGTGAATAATACTTTTGTTAGAGAAAAAAAATTCTGAAGGTCGAAAAGAGCGGGAATTCACGTTTTTTTAGAAATAAATTAAGAGTGCTTGTATGGAAGGTCCTGAACTTCCTCAAGAATTGGCCAGTTTGGCTTAATATAATTTCGTTTCGTAAACAAAAAGTTAAATAATATGTAGGTCATCTAATACGGAAGTTTAAATATCTTGTAATAAATATTTCATTGCAAAAAGTTAAAACAAAATTTTAAAAAAAATTAAAGAAAAAAAAAAAAAAAAAAAAAAAAAGAAATAACTTAGAACACATGAGGATTAAGTGAATATAAAAAGGGTGGTGGATTATAAATTTTAGGGGTATTTATGATATTTTATAATCTTTGGTGGTGAATTGAGATACTTTGGAGGTGGAAATAACACCACTCTTATTTATAAGACATATCAAAGGGATGAGCTTATTGACAGAAGAGACATAACACCTAAACCTATAATAATAAAGATGGTTGGTCAGAATTTTGGAACTTCTCAAAAAAACACCATATTTTTATTTCAGCTTAGTTCCTCGTGCAATCTTTTTTCTGGGTTTGCCAATTTGTTCTTGCAAAATGTTTATCTAATTCTTAATCAATTGGTCAACTAATTTTCAATCAGTAGGCTAACTAGTTTATTGATTTCAATTGATTAGTTTGAATCAGTTGAGTTATAATTTACAATTGAGTCAGACGATTTAGATCAGTTAGCATCTCAATTTATAATTGACTGTTGTGAATCAATTTGCCAATTAAGTGGGAATGTAAGTTGATTAACTGAGTCGGGAAAACAAATTAGTGGGACCAACGTTTTTAAAATGTACAATTTTGAGAGTGTGAGGGATTTTTCGCAAGCAAAATTGTTGTGGTACTTTTGTAAAAAGGCAAAGCGTGGGACTAGAAAAAATAGGCTATTTGAGTTTTTTACTCCTGTAAATTTACTGGTTGAGACTTTTGTTCATCATGTTTTAAAATCAGAATTTTAATCGTACAAGTAATAAAATTTAAGGCTTTTGGTCCTATGACCCGCTATAACAAGTGTTCATTAGTTGGTTGAATGAGTTGACATTTAATGAATAAAAATAATAAATTAAACATTAAATTGATGATGTGGCGATTTTGGAGGGAAAATACATCAAAGATATCAAAATGGATAAAATTAGCATTTCATTTATATATTTATTTTTTTGCTTTACTTTGCTATTAAAAATATAATTAATGAATTTATATAATTAAAGATTTTTGGTACATTTAATTTAATATATCTTTGAATATTTGTATTATTATTTTGTGGTTAATTCGTAAATGTGTATTCGTTTTGCAACATAAATCTTCTTATGTCGTTTAACTTTGCAACATATTTTATTTTCAATATCTTAAATTTGTTTTTTTTTTTTTGTGTTTTAGCATTACTTTTTTTTTTACTTACATTTTGATCACAAACTAGAAAATTGTAAAGTGATTTTTTTTAGATAATAATGAAGTTAATTATCTACTTTTATCAATTATAAACGATGAAAAGGTAATTAAAAAATTAGTTACTAAACAAATGCTTATTTCCGAAATCAAATAAAAAAGATATCTTGTGTTATATTATATTAAGTGGAACGAGAGGTTTCTTGCGGTTTTCTTATCGCGAACTAACACAAAAGATAAATAAATATATAAATGAAAATATTAATTCCCCCAGTTTTGGTGTCTTTGACATTGAAAATGGAATTTCCCTCCAAAATTGTCCTATTGATTAGCCACATCATCAACTTTATTTTTAATCTATTTATTTTTATACATTAAATATCAACTCATTGAAACAACCATTGAATTACCTGTTATAGAAGGTCATACGACCAAAAATTTCAAACTTGGTAACTTATAGGATTAAATCTCTCAACTAGTAAACTTACAGGACAAAAAAATTCATTTTGTCGAAAAAAGACGGTATCCGTGCCTCAAATCAAAATAGTTTAAAAGAATTTTCTCGAATTTCCACATTTTTATGAACCATTGTAAATGTAATTTTAAGTGGATTTTGCTCTCATTATTGTCATACAGCAAAACCCGAACGATACCCCCCAAGAAGGTTACTAATAAATAATAAATGGAGTCATCGGTTATAGGTCCCTCAAACCACTAAGAAATAGCAGTAGGTTCACCCGTAAAATTCATCATTTGTGATACCCCTAGTATTTTTTTTATCTCATTAATACCTCTCAAATAAATTAGATCGACATTAATATCTTTCTTCCCGAAGACAAGTCTCCCGAATCCACTCCATACTCTCTTCGCCGTCATTGTACAACCGTTCCAGAATCAGTAATGACGATTAAGTTTAATATTAGATTCATATCGCAGCCATCCATTCCATACTCTCTCCATCGCCCAAGAATCAGTAGTCAGGTCTAGTTCGTTTTTCATCATTGTCGCAGGCGAATCTAGGGTTAATTTATGTTGTGGATGTTGGGAAGCACATCGGCAGTCACATATAGACTTATGTTTTGCTTCTCAGCAGAAGAAAGAATTTTCTAACCGCAAACGAATACCCACTCTAAATGACATCATGAATTTCGATGCTAGCAACAGTTTTATGACTTCGAAATTATGTGATCGTGTTATACGTAGTCAGTTTCATTTGTATGGCTGGCATTTGCATTTCGTGTACAATCATAGGAGAACAAGCCTGAAAACTAGCCCTTTACCGATCCCGATTGTGAATTATATGATAAATTTAAATCAAGGTCATACATAGGCATTTTTCTTTAGTAGTCATATTTAAGCTATGTTTGATAGATTTAAACACTGAATGTTGAATGTTGAATACATATGTGAAAGATTAAGACAGATGTCTGAACACTGAATGTTGAGCAATTAATTTTGTTTGTTAACTCAATGCTTATTACATCTGAATTGTATGATTTTACTATATTGTCCTTAAGCAAGTTTCATTGATACAATTCTAATTTATAATCATAGAAAGGAATAGAAAAATCGAAATTCATTTTTTTTCTAAAACCCAAATAAAAACATCCTCACATCCATCCATTTATTATCAAAAAATATGAGTATATCACTCATGTCCCAAACAAACGAACCCAATTGTACTCCACTTTCAATAAACGTGGCGTATTACAATTCAGAGAGTAGTATGAAAGCAATTGTGACATTTTTCGAGGACGTGCAACTTGAACTAGCACTCTCCTTTTTCTATTTTTTTCTTATGTAATATTTTAAAAACTTGGTTACTTGAGTTTTTTTTTCTTCTTCCTATTTTCAATTCTGCTTATTTGTTAGTGCAATAAAAGTTGTTTACTCATACAATTTTTTCTTCAATTGTCAACAATAAATTTATTCTACAAGTTCGTAGTAAATTAAAATAATTTTTAACTAAAACCCTGAGTGCATATAACTCAAAATCATATTTATACATATTAAAATTCTACTAAAAAACCCAACAAAATCCTTAAAAATCAATAGTCTCGTAATCTCTATATATCTATGCACGTATACGCAGCGGAAACAAAAAAAAAATCACATAATTTGATAATTCATGTGATTATCAAATGATAACATATTACCATATATACGCGCATATAATAATTAATTATGTACCTTAACGCTCCCACGAAAATAAGCATACATATTGATTTAATTCCAAATTAAATAAAAATACTTATTTAAATCATATGATAATGCTTCAAGAATTCACACATTATAATTAATTAAACGAACAAGCATGCCATAGAATTTGAAACCAATTATCATACAAAATCGATTTCAAATCAAATAGTAAACAACATACAAATAATCATATAATCTAATTGATGATTAAATTTACGGAATTTCAAATCTTATATTTGAAGCATGAGACTCCAGGAGGGATTCGTAAATGAAACTGTTTTTTTGTCTGGAATTTTCAGACATGTTCCGACTCCAATATATCCTTGATTATTGATATGATGGACAATTATTTTGACGAGATTGTATCTGGATTCATCAACTCTTCTTTCGCCATAAGGATTTCTTCGTCGTCTTTGAAACTTCGAATCAGGTTGCACTTCGTATAATTTGATCCACCTACTCTATAGCACTAGATATAGAAAGGTTAGAATTACAACAAAAAGTAGGACGTCCTTTTTTTTTTTTTTTAATTAAGTGACCTTGTAATGGGGTTTTTTGTAATTCACCCAATATTCTATTCCTCTTCAACTCTCATCTGAATCTCGCCTGCTGCTGAGAATTCGCTCACACACCGACAAGCTTGCGTCGCCATCTCTGTGGACGAAAAAGAAGTCTTCCACCACCGCCGGAAAAGAAGTCCTCTGTCATCACCTCACACCGACCTGTAATTGGCGAAATTCTGGCGAACAATCGGCACAGCACATGAATGTGAATTTTTTGACAAGTTTCGACCCACGCAAATGTTGATATATAATTCGACATTAAGTGTCGAAATATTGCAAATGTTGAATTCTCGGGAAATTTACACGGAGCCGTTCTCTGCTTCTCCTCCTCCTATATCCAACCTCTTCATCCCGGGAATGTCCAAGCATATTTCTTGTGCGTCGACAGGGTCACCCTCCACCAAGGTTATAGGGAAATATTTTTTTGTGGGTTTGTCCGAGCATATTTCTTGCGTCATCATGATCTTGCAAATACTTGTGTTTTTTCTTAAGCAAGAGTATCATACTATTTTCATATAATATTATTGTTCCCAAAAATTGATTTGTGATCTTTCCTCTTACAAATTTGGCATTGCAAATAGCCAACCCATTTGTAATTTTGTTAATTGATCTTTTTATAAACTATACCAAACCTCTAGTTTCTGTATTCTTCGATAAGGGATATTATATATTAGAAACACGAAAAACCAGTCATCTATGCAAATTCTTCAGCTATATGAAAGATCAATGTGATAACAAAATACTAACTGTGTCGTATAAAGAACATAAAGTCGGTAAACAACATCATCGAACAAAAAAAAAAATCTTATAAATAGCCTTACAACACACGCACGCGCGCACACACACAGAGACCTTGGTGCACGTAGATGTTTAATGATGTCTGAACTAAATATTCTCCTTGTTATGACAACCCGAAAGATAGAAGACCAACAGCAGCAACATCGGTTAAACCAAGTTCAACGGATAAAGAGTTGAGAGCAGGTTCCTTCAACAGACTGAATGCACAGAATCCATAATAAGAGTGGTAAATATCTGGCAGCAACCTCGGAAATTTACTGAAACCACCATACTGCCACAACAATATAAACAAATTATATGTGAATAAATTACTTTCGATAACATGTTATGTATTATTATATGTAAATCAATGTCGCAAAATTAAGAAGATTAAACCACCTTGGATTGACACGTTAACAAGAATTCACGTAATGCTTTCTTATTGATGAATTTATCTGCTCGTAGGATCCTTAGAACTCCTCCGATCCTACATACGATAAATGCTATCTCAATGTGATCATAATAAGTAACATAAATTAAAATAAAACTAGATAACGATTGTTTGCATTGCGTACCAAAAGGCGTAACAAGTATCGGTTGGCTTGTTAGATCTGCCTTGGAAACCACCATCTACTGCCTGCTTCTGTAACACAATCAAGTCGGTTTCGTCGTGAGATGAAAGACCAATCTTATATAAGATAGTGGTGGTAACTAAAAATGAGCAGAGAGTAAATTAGGAAGATATTTATTAAATGAATGAGAATTGTAGGATTTCAATCTGGTTTGTCAGCGTGCTGACAAACCAGGAGTCTAACCTCTACCCTTCTAGGATCACCTAATTCTTCCTCAATTCGTAAAATTTCAAAAAACCAAAAGAGGAAAGGAAAAAAAAACACGGGTAAATTACGAAAACCCCCCTGAACGATAAATTACAAAAAAAACACCCTCACCTACCCATAATTATCAAAACCCTCCCGACGTTTGTTTCTGTCTTACACTGACCTCCTTACGGTGTGATTTTTCACGGAATCTTTTAGATTACGGTGAATATTTTGCGAAAATTGCTAATTCTACCCTAGGATACGTGATATTTTCTTTATGCTACTTTTTTAAGACAAAAATTAATCTCAGAGGGGTAATGGTAATACTAAAAAGTTGTGAAGTTGTTATTTTATAAGACCAATAACGATTCCGTGTAAAGGCCCCTCTGAGGTTAATATTTGTCTTTAAAAAATATAGCATAAAGAAATGCCACGTTTAAGGGGGTAGAATCGGCATTTTTCCGCAATAATCCATTGACTCAAAAAGATCCCATGAAAAATCACACCATAAGGGGGTCGATGTAAGACGGAAACAAACATCGGGGGATTTTCGTAATTACGGATAGATGGGGGTGTTTTTCGTAATTTAGCCTAAGTTCAGAGGGGTTTTCCTAATTTATCACAAAAAAAAAAATCCCTCTTTTCTCTGGCAGTAGATATAGGCCATCTTAACACATATTTAGCCACGGGGTATGATGACACTACGCAAACGTAGATTCAAAACCATTTGCTTCTACAATTTGAAGTTGTGAAAAATAAAATATTTGGTATTTTGTCAAAGTGTGAATCGTACGGTGCGTGCCTACAACTGTGAGAAAGACTTCATTGTGCAAACGAAGATTCAAACCAGGTAGAACTTTCCTCATGGCTTGAAGTAAATTACTTGCATGGCCAATGCAAATTAAGAACAGAAGATATTTACACGTTGTCCTGGAAATATTTAGAACATCAAACATCGTTTCTCGATTACTTTTGACTGTGATTGTGTTTTCCGAATATATTTTATCTTCTTACTCTTTGGCTAGCATAATTAAAATTTCTTTTATAATTATTTTTTTCTGCAGCAGACAGATAATTACCGACATAAACTCTAGGTCACCAAACTCAAGTTAGACTTACAGAGACGAGGATAAAATTGATTACAGGAACAACATTTCTCCTTTACGAGGCCCAAGCTTTGACCAGTTAATAAAGGCTTCTCGGTAAGTAATACACCGATTTGATGGAATTAAAGAACTCAATTTTATTCTTTCTTGCTTTTTAGGAAGGAAGTGAAACAATAGCCTAAGAGAAGATAAACCTGCAAGCTCCATTCGAGAAGCAATGGCACATTGATGCAGTGACAGCGAGCAGTTTCAGACAGTGCATCTTCGTCTAAGAATCCCATCAGTTTAAGAGATGCAACAGCACAGTAAGTAGCACCACCTGTGACACTAAATAAAATCCCGTCCGTAAGTGTAACAAAAATCTGCAAGAAGCAACCAATCATGGATGGAAAGCAGATTGTATAATAACCATGATTAATATCTAGGTTATCATAAACTTTGAAATGTTACTTCTTGCAACTACGATAGTGAAAATTGAGAAAAGGATTGGCTAGCAAATAGAGTTGAAAATCATTGAAAATCGACTACATAAATCGAAAACAATAAGGACTTCTGTATCCACTCACCATGAGATTCTGAACCGGGAATTAGTCCAAAACCACCATCATACGACTGCAAGAAAACTAAAATCAAATACCATGTTTTGCAACATAATATTGGTTAAGGTCGGAGGACGCGACCTCATAGAGAATAAAGGTAAGGGTAATATTATCAAATAGGAAAAACGTAACATGAGCCAAGATAAGTCGTAAGTTAAAACACCTGACAGCTAATTATATACTCCTTAGCTTTTTCTCGATCCATGCCACTCCAGTTCTTGAACATGGAACAAATTGCCGCTGATAAATCAACTACATAAATACTATCATCCGAAAAAATGATACTCAAAATTAATTATATCGAATTTTGTTACCTGCGCAAAACACAAAGCGGAGATCTGTCTCTCCCCCAGTATGAATCGGCATAAAACTGTCACATGCAAGCCGCAAAAAGTCAGATACTCGATTCAGCCACAAACATGTGAATGTGTGCAACTAATAAAGCACAGCCTTTTCGACGTAACAAAAATAAAGTGGGAATCACCGTAATCATAGTAATAACGAACAAGGGTAAGCGGAAGGCCGCATAAGAAATAATTTCTTCACAATCCAGAGTAATAACAACTAACAGAAAAAAAAAAAAAAACAATAAAACTAAGAATGAAGAGAAAACCAATAGTACCATCCATTAGGTTGTTGGAGGTTTTTCATTGATTTCAATAATAATTCAGCGTCAATAAGAGATAAATCATAGCCAACAGACTTCAATATAGCCAGTGCACAATACGTGCTTGCGAGGTGACTGCCGTTGGGGGTTGATGCCTGCATTAATGAATTTCGAAACAAAATAATCAACTAATGCAACACAAAAGAAAATGAAGACAATTTCATTCTTTTTTTTTCCTTAATGAATGTGTAACCAGCTTTCGTACCCCACTGTCATTTGACTGGAATTGGGAACTTCTTGAACCGTGAAACCCGTAAAATTGCCCTGTACAGATATACATTTTCATGTAAACAAATTTCAAATTCTCAACTATAACCTTACTTCCGTACAGAAAGTAACGATTCAACTCTAGGAAACAAACTACCTTACCATTTTCCAGGGTGCCCTCGTTCTTTGGATGAGCTTGCAGCGATAAGACCCAGTTAATTACCGATTCTTTGTCAACCTAATGGAAAAACAAAATAGTCAAGGAAGTCGTCTTCTGTAGACTTTAACTTAACACTATCTACTAACTACAAATCCACTCATTTTGTCGCATCCTAAACAATCAAAAAGGTGTATATAATATAATAAGAAGTAGAAAAACTGAATCTTGACTGCGATCAACACTGAAATCTCTGCCACCTCAAACTCCCTGTCCCATGTTATGCAACGAATAAAACCTAGGCCAAGACTTCGTCAAAACCATTCTCGCTTTGAGAAAACCGCAAAATTCTAAACCCCTTTCGAGTTTCGATACTCACCTATCCATTTACAACACTTATAATCCTAGACAAAAAAAAACGAGTGTTTTCTGTCTAAAAAGTAAAAGTAAAAATGCCAACTCCTGCATCTTGATTAATGCAGAATGGAAAACAAATTTCTCTTCGACTTGGGTTAATTCAAGACGGACTAAGAGATTTCCCATCTCTAATGCATTATAGAGATTTATCTATAGCTAAATCCAATATTTATAATTAGCTTCTCGATTTGTGATTGATTCTCGCGCACTTGTTAGTGCTAATTACTTAGATAACAATTAAATTAAACCCCAGCCAGTGAGCTCTATACAGATTTTGACATGATTTCCTTTTTGAATTATCAATTAAAATCTGCTAAATACTATGCGAGTTTGAAGTTCACCCTTGCATTATAACTGTTTCCTAGTTTTCATATAAACTAATAGATCGAGAATTAAGGTCTGGGTTTTAAAACGGTGTCATGAAAGCAAAACTAAAACCTTCGACTGAATTAAGGCAATAAAAATCGTACAGTAATAAAACAAACTGCAAAAAATAAAATAAAATTAAAATTGAGGAGAGAGATGGAGATAGATACACGATCGAGTGCGCGGAGAATGTCGAGGCCGGAGATAACGAAGTAGGCGAGAGTGAGGCGGTTGATTTCTTGGGATTGATACGGAGATGGAAGGAGTTGATACATCATCTGTAGATACAGTATGTGCCGATCTCTATCGAACACCACCAATGATTCTTTATCCGAAGAATTCCAGTATACTGCTGGATCTTCCTCCTCCATACTCAACCCCGAGAGTTTCGTTTGTCGATCCAAGATTTTTTTTGTTGCGTACAAATGTTAATAGCAATTATTCTCTTTTTCTTTTAAATTTGGGTCATTTCATTTGACTTTGAAGTAAGCACTTCCCAACACTTTGTCTAACTCATATTAGAACTAAAGTGTAAATTACAATCACTACTATGTATGGTCAAATTACGAAAAAAAAATTCTTATGTTTGGATAATTATATCTATTTACTCAACTATGAATCTTCTTATGTCTCCACTCTTATGGTGTCAAATTCAACATAATCATCTAGATTTCATGGAATGTTCTCTAGTTTGTACTTGTTTTGTGCAAAAATACGGTATCTGATGCATCACAATCTAATATATACCTGCAAAAAAACACATCTTATGATCATCTAGCTTCAAAATGTGAAGCTCGAATGGAATAAAACGGGTCAATAATTGAGAATATTCCATATAATCTAAAAGATCCAGTAAATTTAAAACTACAGGGGTGGACGTGTAAGAAGATTTGTAGTTGAGGGGTGGTTGTAATTACCCAAACAGGAGGGGGTTTTCGTAATTTGACCATACCTCAGGGGTGGTTATAATTTACCGTAGAACTAAATGACAACTCTAATTAAATATGAATACAAGATGCTCATTGAATGATAAAAATTGTAATCTCCACTCATACAATTTCAAGAATTTTTAGGGGATGTTTGGTTATGTTTTTAATGAATTTTCTAGTTTTCATAGTTTCTGATGGAAAAAGTAGATGCATTGATTTTTGTGTAGAAAATAAAAATATGTTTGGATGAAGTAATTTTTTTAGTTTTAATAGGTGTGAAATGAGAATATGTTTGGTTGTGTGTTTTCTACACGAAAATGAGAATATGTTTGGTTGTGGTCAGTGGCGGAGCCAGGAGTTTGAGACAGGGTGGGCTTAACATTAACGGGGGTTCGGGGGCAGCGCCCCCGATTTTTTTTTTTTGATTCATTCACATAAAAATATAGCACAAAATAAGTACAAATTTATAAACTTAAACTCATAAAAGCTATACTAAATTACTTGGGTGGGTGAGCTTAACATTGACGGGGGTTCGGGGGCAGCGCCCCCGATTTTTTTTATATTCATTAACATAAAATAGCATAAAATAACCACAAATTATAAACTTCAACTAATATAACATAAATTTTTTGATAGATAAGCTAAACTAAATTACTTGGGTGGGCTAAATTAAACTATTTGGGGGGCTAATTATATATAGATGTAATATATAGTATAAATTTTTAAATAATGAGAGTGGGCTGGAGCCCACCCTTGCCAAAGGGTGGCTCCGCCACTGGTTGTGGTGATGATGAATGATGATGATGGTGGTAGTTATTATTATTATTATTATTATAAGGTAAAAAAATAGGGAGAGGGTGGAATTATTAATGAGGAGCGAGAAATTGGAGAAGAGAGAGTGTATATACTAAGGGCAACTCCGACCCCAAATTGAAGATCTCAAACACTCATTTGGGGCTTTCTACAGTGTTTTGGGGCTTCATAAAAAGATTTTCACTCCAATAGCAAACATCAAATTGGGGCCTCATTTTTAAATTTAATTTAATTTAATCTATTTTAATAAAATCTAAATGAAAACTAACTATATTTTGTTAGAAGTAAATAAATCAAAAAATATATTTAAATTTAAATTTAAATGAAATAAAAATAAAATAAATTTAATAATACGAAAATATTAATTTATGTCACGTCACACCTCTTATCTTTTTCTTGCCGTGGTGTCGATTCAAGAATTATTCTACATATTTCAACTATCACATTTTATCCGATAAGATTTTCGGGAACACTTGTCAATTTTCGAGAGGACGTCAAAATTACTATTATATTTTAGGCGATAAGATTTGGGACACATGTCGATTTTTTAGAGGACGTTAAAATTTTTGATGAGATTTTGTGTCCATATCGTACATCTTATCTTCATCCTCAAACATCTATTTAGGAGGGTTCATAGGATGCAGTTTTCAACACTTCAATAACTTCTTCATATTATAACATTTGTTCTCTATTTTGAAATTTTCGTCTCATCATTTCACCATGTATCAAAATCTTGAGTTGCTAAACACTTTCTTTAACTTCTGAGTCTGATGACGATCTTGAATTGCTTTTAATAGCAACTCAAAATGAGGAAGCCGAAAGGCGAAATACGCGTCGTCGTGGTTCTGTTCCGGGCCGAAGGGTAATTAATCGTAACAGGGCTGGAGGGCACAAAAGGGTTTATCAGGATTATTTTTCTGATAATCCAACATATTCTGATGATCAATTCAGAAGAAGATTTCGGATGCGGAGGCCTCTTTTCTGTCGAATTCTAAATGCAGTTGAATCATATGATCCCTACTTCGTGCAAAGACATGATGCAATCGGGGTCCGTGGCTTATCATCTCTTCAAAAGGTAATAGCTGCACTCAGAATACTTGCCTATGGAATTCCAGCTGATCTTCTAGATGATCATATACGCATAGGTCAAAGCACCTCCCTTTATAGCTTACGTCATTTTGTCGAAGCGATAGTTGTCTTTTTCAGTGAAGTATATCTAAGAACACCAACCGAAACAGATCTATCGCGACTGCTCCAAGCTAACGAGCAACGTGGATTTCCAGGGATTCTTGGAAGCATTGATTGCATGCATTGGGAGTGGAAAAAATTTCCAACTGAATTGGAAAGGAATTTACACGGCCATTCTCGTTCACCGACTATTGTATTAGAGGCAGTTGCTTCAGGATCTTTGGATATGGCATGTTTTTTTAAGAATGCCAGGCTCACTTAATGATATAAATATTTTAATAGATTTCATGTCTTCTTAGCACTAACCAACGGCCGTGCTCCTCCAGTCAATTTTATCGTCAATGGTAATAATTATTCCATGGGTTATTATCTAGCGGATGGTATATATCCATCTTGGGCTACTTTTGTTAAGACAATATCTGCACCACAAGGCTTTAAAGCCTAACATTTTGCAAAACTCCAAGAAGGTGCTAGAAAAGATGTAGAACGGGCATTTGGAGTACTTTAAGCTCGTTTCAGTATAGTGTGTGGACCAGCCAGGTTTTGGGATGAAAACACATTATCTAATATAAGGAAAGCATGCATCATAATGCATAATATGATTGTTGAGAATGAAAAAAAAAAAAGGTGCAAGTAATGTGAATTTTGACCATGCAACTCCAGATGTTATTCCGTCACACGAGCACACAAATGAGTTTGTTGAGTTTATTCAAAGTCATCATCAAATTCATGATAGGGGTACTCATTTAATACTCCAACGTCATCTTGTTGAGCAACTTTGAAATTTGCACGGTCAAGAAAATTGATAGGTGTATTTGTAATATTTCAATTTGTGGCAAAATTTCTATTTGTAGTGTTCCAATTTATTTCTATTTATAATGTTTCAGTTTATCTCAACGCTACTCTTTAATATTATTAACATAAAGTTGAGTGTAATTATAATTTTTCATTTTATCTAGAAAACAGTAAACATACAATTTGAAATTACTAGAGAAATAAACAGTGCAATGCTACCTCGCATACAAGATTAATCAATTCAAACCTCTTTTGCTAAGTATTTCATTTTTCTGGGTCTCCCAATAAGCAGCATGAATTGGATCCATTCCGCAAGTGTTTGTCCCTATAATTGCAATCTCACGACTTTTTTGAGACTCCTCTATCATTTTTTTGCTTTGCTCAAACTTTTGTTCTTCTATTTCAATCTTTTTTGCCCAACGCTCATCCGTAACAAACATCGTAGATGAGCTACTGGTCTTTAAGTTTGCTTTCTTCCTCGAAAATTGTTCTTTTGACGCCTTGTTACCGAGAGGCGGAACGTGAGTAGTGGAATGATCACTACTATCACCAAATGGACTTGCATCAACATCGAGGTCGACAATTTTACTTTTTTTTAGAGTTTGCCCTTTTCTCTCGTTTTGAAGAAGTTCAAAGCAATGTTCTAGTTGGAAAGCTCTACCTTCATCGGCAACGTATAGTTGTTTTGCTTCAATCAACTGCAAAAAAAAAATAAGGTGAAAAATAATTAAATAGTATTCTATGAACAAAAATTAAGAAATAAATATTTACCTTTCCATGAGCCGATTGACCAGATTGATGCCTATCGTCGATTTGTTTGACACAACCAACAAATTTAGCACATCGTGCGTTAATTTGTCCCCAACGATATTTTATGTTTTTTCTCGGTACGCCCCATGTCACCGCCATGACTCATAAATAGATCATATATTTTTCCCCAAAACGTAGTGGATCTCTGATCATTTCCAGTAATAGCATCATTACTTGTATTTAGCCATGTTGAAAGAAGAATTATATCCTCATCGAGAGAAAATTTCCTTTTTCTTTTTGATAATACTTGCCCTACCACTACACTTTCGAGAGGTGTATAGAAATCTCGTCGAATTGGTTATTTTCCACAAATTCCGATGACGTGTTGTTTAGCAAATCAGCGTAAGAATGATACATATCGTCATCCATCTACAAAAGCAAGAAAATAATTATGAATTAGCATACACATAAAATTAATTAACCTAAAAATGATTAACATACAAATAAAAAATAATGTACAAAAACTAATGTAATAATGTACAAAAATAAAAATTTAAATAAATAACCCTAATCCCCTACCCCCACCACTATGAGCCGCCACACCCCTCTTTTCTCCTATGTTCTCTCTATCTTCTAATTCTCTCCTTCTCTCATCTCTCTTGTTCTTCCCCTATGTTCGTTATTTTCTTCTTCTTTTTTTCTCTCTCACTCAATCTCCCCCATCTTCTCTCCTTTTTTAACCCTTTTTCTCTCATCTTTCTTTCACTGTTTTTTCCGTGCTCCGATTCACAAGGAAAATCATAAAGGAATTTTTTTTTCATTTTTTATTACTGTTGAATCTGCAGAATAAAAGAGTCGTTGGGTGGAAACGTATCCGTTGGGAGGAAATAGATCCGTTGGGAGCTTCCCTCCAATTTATGATTACCCAATTTTCATACCCCATTTTTTATGGCAGAGTAGGGGAGGTCCTAAAATGGGGCATGTTTTGATGGCTCGGTTGGAATAAAAAAAATCAGACTTTAGCCATCAAAATGGCAGTTATTGCTTTTAGGGCCTCAGTTGGAGTTTCCCTAATGGTTAAAGATGAATATAAGGAGAGAGATGAGTTGAATAAATAAAATATATAGGTTAGTAGGTATTAGTAGGTTTGAAAGTGTAAAAAAGTATGAATAGTGTATTTTCATTGGAACTTTGATTGGAAAAAGTGTGTGTTTTCAAGTAAATTTTTGAAACAAACATGATCTCGGTTTTACGAATAGTATAAAAGTTGGAAATGAATTTGAAAACATAAACAAACATGTCCTAAGGGTTTTGTTTTAGAGTAACCGGAAGAATTGAAGTCTCTTTTCTTTTGTATTAGGGATTTGTTAGGATTCTTACATTTATTAGAAGATAATTATTTCGAATAAACCAATTTAAAATTCAGATAACATGCTCTATGGGGCATGAGTTCGAGTATCATAAATGTTTCATAACGTCCGCGAATTTGATCAATTAATCTTCTTACTTTATCAGCAGATAGAGATATATGTGGATCTAAAGCGTATACTTCCCTTTTGTTTTTTATCCATATTCTTTATTAAATTTATTTGACAAATGTCCCACTCACAAATTCAAACTGCATTTGTTATTATTTTAATGTCTTTAATATCTTCATTTTTTTCATCAAACATATTTTATTTTATTTTAACAAACTTTGTGATATCTATTTTTCTCTTTTTTTCCATTCTAAAATTTTTTATATTGTTATAAACAACTTATTTTTTTCTTTATTTTTTACATTATATAAAAATTACGAATAAAAACATATTTTTTCATTTTTGTTAAATAATATAACAGATTGCGAAAAAATTATGGTGTACTATGGTATATTATGGTGTATTATGCTAATCATGTCACCTAGTAACTCTCAGCCGCTGTCAAACCCTATCATCCCCAAAAGTTCTAGGGTTCGAGAGAGAATTATGACGGCCGACACGATTGACCATCTTCCAGCGTCGTCAAACCAGCAGCCAACTTATTCCAGCCGCCGCCAAGCCTTAGCAACCAACAACTCCTTAGCCGTCGTTAAACCCTATCTACCAAAATCTAGCCGCCTACCAAATTAAACCCTAGACGCCATAGTTGCCGCCTCCCACTATAGATTTGACCTTACACACCCATAGTTGTTGCCTTCATAACCGTCCCCTTTATTGTTGCCGTCTCCATTGTTATAGTTGCGCCATAGCCATCCCACCATCCCCCTCAACAATAGAGTGGAGTACAGAGAGAGAGACGTACAAAAAGAAAAAAGAAAGAAAATAAATTTGATAGAGACATGACTCTAGAGTTTATGGGTTTAGGTTAAGAGCAAATTAGGAATACAAAAAATAAATCAATAAAGAATGTGGGTCATATTTGTTTTTCAAAAAAGGATTTAGTTAAGAAAAAAAATATTATGGTTGTATTCCACATCGAATTATGTTTCTACCCAGTAACTTCTAGTATATATTATCCAAAAAATAAATGTTTCAAATTATATGTGCCTTAGGGCCCTTTTACAAGATGAAATAACCTCACTCCCACTCCACACCCACTCACAAATTCGAAATCTGCATTAAGTAAATTTCAAACTGCATTTATCATTTTTTTTTACTATGCACTAGTATTTTGCCTCGTGCAACGCACGGGCGGATATTGAAAAAAAAATATATGATAAGCAAAATTAGAAATTAATAAACATATATGATATATACAATAGCAAAACAATGGAACACCGAAAATGTAAAAATTCCACTACTTGCAATCATAATCTATATATCAATTTTAACAATAAAATTTAATACACATACGTGTGCTATAAAAAAAAGGAGAGAAATGCTGGAAGGGAAAAAAAGAAGAAAAAAAGAAAAAGAAAATAATTAAAAAGAAAAACCAAACGCGAAAAAAAAAATTCAAAGTTGGTCGTGTTTAGTGGGGAAGGAAAAAAAAAAAAAGAAAAAAAAATAATTATAAAAAAAAAACATGTCCTCTAAAAAAGGAAAGAAAATTTGTGCTCGAGCAGAAGGAAAAAAAAAAAGTAAAAAAGGAAGAGAAAACAAATAATTTTGAATGTGCTGTAGAAAATGTGAAAATAGAGGAAACAAATATTTCACAAAAATATTTTTAAAAAAAAAATTGTTTTAAGGGTTCGGGGCAAACCTTTCTTTTATATATAAAGATTTAGAGGATTTAGTTAACCTTTCTTATTTTCAGGATTAATTTTTGGGATCTTATGATATAGGTCTCTGGTGACAAAACTAATCTGAACTAAATGACTAGTCTAACTAAACTTTTGTTTCACATCCTTTATTAAATTCATTCCAAAAATGCCTCTCTACACATAAATTCGAATTTGCATTAAGTAAAATTCAAACTGCATTTTATCATTTTATTATGCATTTAATATCTTCATTTTTTCTTCAAATAATAATATATTTTATTTTATTTTTACCAACTTGGTCATCTTTATTTTTTCGTTTTTGACTCTAGCATTTTTTACGTTATTATAAGTAACTTTGTTTTTTGTACATTTTATTGAAAATTACGAAAAAATATTTTTTTCGTTTTTGTCAAATAATGCAGCAGATTTTAAAAATACTATGGTGAACTACTATTCCAAACTCTATCATTCAACAACTTCCAGCCGCCGCCAAACCCTAACTTCCAACATCTTCAAGCCACCGTTAAATCATAGCA